AATACCATCTTAATGCCATTAATTTCATTAAATTCCCTATTGGTTCAAGACCTCCTTGACAATAATTGTTCTTTTCATAGTCTGTTCGTGATTGGCTCAAAGCGATGTTAGTCTCTTTTTTGACTTTCCCTATTTCCGTTGTTTGGTTACGCCTCTTCTTCTACTTTACTCACTCAAATTGACGTCAAAGTTCTTTCAAAATAAGGTCACAATTACTTTCCAATGCAGTGAATCGGCAGAACCAAACCCTCTTCATTAAGTAAAATTAGCCAATAGGCATGAAGCATCGTAGAAGAGATTCGCTGCATCCAGAGAGACCTTTGGTGTGAGTTCAAATGAGGAACGTGAGCTGCTCACCTAGCAACTATTATAGAGCTCAAGCCCGAGAATCAAAAGACGTAAAATGCATTAATAACTTGACATTCCATTTTATGAGTACATTTTTTGTTCCCCAACACCTAATCACTTGCTCAATTTTGAACTTAAGGAATGTTGCTGCGTTCGGCTGTATTATTTAGGCGCTTTATGTAGATTTCGTCATCGGAAGCATTACGGATATATGCTGACTGAGTGTTCACGATTTCTTTCGATCCGTATTGGTTCATTTCTATGCAGGTATCAATGCAGTTGAAGAATTTCTAATTCTCAAATGTTGAAAGTTGAAGTTTCGGAATAAGTTTAGCGTATGCAAGCATATTTACTCGTGATTTTCCTGTTCACTAAGGAATTAACAATGATTCAAATGGCGAAAGATAAACAATTTGAAAATTCTAATTTCTACTGGCTTTCATTTTTATAATTCAAATTCAATTTGTACTTCTGAGGCTGTTGCGAACTTCATTTTAGTGTTTTTTTTCATTCTCAAAATGAAATAAAAATGGTATTCATTATTTTGAAAGAGGGATTTTTTAACCACAGATTTAAAAACACGTTTTGTAATTGCGCACTGCATTTCGAATTGAAGTGGACCATATCTTTTCCTTAAAATTCCTTTTTAGAAGGCTGAATCTAAATTATAGTTACAACGATTGAGTAACTGTTTGCAACACTAATAAATTAATAATTTTTGGGGGGATGGTATTCGAAATAAATTTATATCGTGGGGGATTAATATCTATTTGGCTAGAATTTAATGCCAAAATTATTGAATTAAACTGGAAACTGAGGAAAAACTACATCTCTGTTATGCGAAACTGTTGGCCATTTGGCAATCTTGAGTCGCGTTGATTACGTTGGGTTAGGAAGAAAGTTATTTCAAAACTAAATTAAAACGGCAGGCGTTTTGATAGTTATCATTAGCCCTTTAGCAAATGGCAGGCGTCTTGATGGTTATCATTAGCCCTTTAGGTGACTCAGGCTTCACAGAGGAGAAGGAACATCAAAGTGACAAAATGTCGAGAGGGGGAGGACAGAATAGTGATTTAAAGATGTAAAGGAGACAGACAGACACAAAGACTGAGAACAGGTGAGATGAGTACTGTGGAAGGAGTCGAATACGACAAACAGTCGGGTCAGAGTAGTTCGAATTCAGAAGCCAACTGCCTATTAATAGACCTTTTTCCCATATAAGTATGCGTCTCCCAGGGTGCACCACGTGGAGGCAAGTCTATTGCGCACCCCGTGCCGACGAAGATAGATAATAATTGAATTATTGTCGAATTGGAACAATTTAGTTTTTAATAACTTGTTTTTGAATCAATTGGGTAAAACATGTTCAATGAAAAATAGCATTATATTAGAAAGTGGTCCGCTCGTGTATGCGATGTGGATGACTTTGGGATTACAGACTTAGAAACGATATCAAAAATCAGAGTTTTAGCTAATTTTGGGGTTTGGGTGCTGAATTTACTGAACCAATGCCCACATTAAAATAAACTTTAACAATTGCAACTGAAATTGTGCTAGTTTGCGATCCAAACATTTGTCTTGAACAATTTCGACTGCTCTATGCTGTAAAATACACATTATGCCATGTTAATTTTGTTAACATCTGATTGTTTTGTCGCGAAATCTGCTTTTAAATTCCCGGCTGTTTTTTTATCTCTCATGTTGATAGCGTCGAAATGCATTTTAAAAATAATCCGTTTCCCCCATAAAAGTGAAGAATTCTAAAAAAAAGCAGAAAAATCATTATACTTGGATTATCCTTTAATCCTATAATCCAATTTCTCTCTTATTAAAAGCGCGTGCTTGTTATCTTAATTGCTAATAAGTAGTGTTTACTAACTCGACCGCGTTTTCATTTGATTTTAGACGGCATTTGAGTGCATGTCGAAGTTGCTGGATCTTTATGTGGAGCACCTGCCAATTTCGCCATTCTTGGATACTCTTATTGCAGGATTGAAGGATCATAACTACAACAAGATCGCTTGTTGTCATATTCTACGAAAAGCCGTCCAGTTTGCACCAATCGAAATAGTTGAAAGTAGGTACCTGTTTCTGGACATTTGTGTGTCCTATAAAGTTTTGAGGCAATTTGGGTAGTTATCAACGGTGTTTTTCCAAGGTATATCTGCTAGAGGATGAAGTAAAACCTTCCGAAGCAGATTTAGCAGAGAAGGCAGGGAACGCTTATTTTTTGTAGGTTTCGTATATATATCAGAAAAAGATGTACTTTTCAAATGGGTGCCAAATTGAGCCCATACGGATAGAGTCGATCTTAATTTGTGTTCTTGAGATTACTCTCCCTCTCTGATGGAGCAAAATCAATATTTTTTTGAGGAAGTGCTTTCCAACTCTCGAGGAATTGCAAACCGATACCACTTCTCTTGTTTCTACTTAAATTTAAATTATCTAGTGCATTTCATTATAAATGCGCGTCAGTGATGATCGAACTAGTTTACTTCTTCTGGTGCGCACTTTAACCACCAACAACCCATGAAATTCGTGTATAGCTGCCAACTTTGTTTTCATTTTTTTTCTTTCTTAAAGAAATGTCGCAGATAACGCCTTCGGTGATAGAAATATTGACCATGCAGGTCAAAGAAAGCTGGGTCAAACAGGAGGCCGATAGACTGGAAGAAGTCAAAATGAATGTTCTCGACCTTGTCGTTGAAATCTCCACGATTTCCGATATGAGTATGTTCAACCACCTTGCCCTACTCTTAATTTCATTCGCTAACTTACCCCTGGGCTAGTGTATAATATATTGTGTTAAGTCAATTGTGAAATTTAGGTGAACATAGATTCCACACGCTTCTATTCGTTTTGTGATGCATTAATTTGTCGACGAAATATAATTTTCATCATGGTATAGCAACTGAGCATGAAATATCAAATTCACTGAATTAGCCATTTGGAAGGAGAGATCGATTGTCTTTTCTTGATTCCTCGAAGCAATGCAGGGATGATTAAATGGAAGTGTACAAAACTGCCGAAAGGTTTGAAGCGGGGGTGGGGGAGTACCAAACAGCCAACAGCAAACTCAAAAGACCGATGTTAGAAAACGAGAAGAAATAAATGTGAAGT